TCTGGAAGTATACAGGAAGAAAAGTTTATTTGACCATATTGGTTTTAATGACATTACCTGAATCCTGATGGTGAAAAAGCATGAATGTCTGAGATCAGGACATGTAACCTCATCCTGAATGCACCAAAAATGATAAAAAACACTCTTGGACCACCATTGACACTTGTTCAGGAAGAAATCCCCTGGCAAAACAGTACAACAACAACATCATCATCAACAACAACTGTATTTTAAATATTAATATATAATTTTTATAATGCATTGTTGTTAATGATAGTTCACTTGGTATAGTTCTTCAGTAGCTGCAAATAGTTTTGATATTAATGAAGCAGTGAATCTGCTTCAGGTTTCAGTCCAAACTTTAAGGGATCTATTTAAAGCACTGAGCCCTACACTAGATTCAGCACCTTGGATATATTCTTCAGCATCTAGAAGTAAAACATCTCCATCTAGGATGGTGGTTCTCAACCTGTGGATCCCCAGATGTTTTGGCTTTCAACTCCCCAAAATCCTAACAGCAGGTAAACTGCCTGAGATTTCTAGGAGTTTTAGGCCAAAACACCTGGGGATCCAAGTGTTTTGGATGGAGATGTTTTACTCCTAGATCCACACCTGCCATTGCAGTTTCTATCAGACTATAACAAAAGCCCACTTTATTTGTCACATGTTCTATTAAATTTTCTGCAACTGCATTCTAAGATATAATCCTGATCAACACATGTAAGATTTCTTTATAATTTTTTATTGCACATAAAAGGTTTAACAATTATATAGATATATATGGAAGCTGGCTCTTAGGCTTAGAAATGGAGATGAGTACCAACCCCCAGAGTCAGACATGACTGTACTTAATGCCAGGGGAAAACATTTACCTTAACCTATGTGGAACATAAGTTCACTATTCTTCTGACTATACATTTCCCCCCTCGTCTATTTTCTTTTATTTCCTTTCATCCCTGTGCTCCCCATCTTGAGAGCCATATCTTCTTGTAAAATCCCATCAAAAATTCAGTTCTTCATGTGGAGGTAAATTCCCATCTTCTTTTTCCAATACTTTTTCTAAAAAGCTGTAAAATTTCTTAACTGGAGTAAAAATGTAAATTCTTAACTTAATAATGGAAACTTAATAATGGAAAATGGGTTATTCTGTAAAGGAGAGCAAGAGAATTGAACAATTTCTCATTTGATGGTTTTTTCATCTCATTGTTTGTGCCATTAATATTTTAATTGTATTTAAAACTATTTTAAATTCATGTGATATTAAATAGAATTGCTGTTTTTTAACATTTGTAAAATAAGATTTTAGCTAAGCTTTTCTTTTAAATTACTGTAATCCACTTTGGGTCTCATCCCAGAAAAAGTGGCATAAAGTGAATAAATAAACCAGATCTACTTGCATGATAAAGAAGTAAAGGTAAAGGTTTCCCCTGACATTAAGTCTAGTCGTGTCCAACTCTGGGGGGTGCTGCTCATCTCCATTTCTAAGCTGAAGTGCTGGTGTTGTCCGTAGACACCTCCAAGATCATGTGGCCAGTATAACTGCATGAAGTGGCATTACCTTCCTGCAGAAGCAGCACCTTTTGATCTACTCCTGTTTGCATGTTTTTGAACTGTTAGGTTGGCAGAAGCTGGGGCTAACAGCAAGAGCTCACCCTGCTCCCCAGATTCAAACCACCAAGCTTTCAGTCAGCAAGTTCAGCAGCTCAGTGATTTAACCCACTGCACTACCAGTGCAGTGAGTTAATAAATAATTCAATCCAAATTTTGCGGAAAACTGACAGAACTTTCAGACTTTTGAATCTGCCCAAGCTAAGTCTGGGAAAGTTGCTTTTTGGGCTACAATTGCCTGTATATGCTAGTCAGCATGGTTAGGGTTTTCTGGCCATGCTGGTTAGGGTTTTCTGAAAACTTTAGTCTGAAAAAAATATTTTTCAAGCTCTCTTCTGAGTCACCCAAGAATCTCATAAAAATCATTGGCAACACTCAAGTTCATGGGTTGAAAACAAGCATGGCCAAAGTCTTCCTGACAATAACAAACGCATGTGCTTAACTTTCTTTCCAGGTGCTCAGTTTTGGCAAGATCATGCTCCATGGGTGACCATGGAGAAGGAAAGTCATATTAAGGAGCTGCTGCTTCATTCAGCTCACTAAGCTGTATGAGCAAATTGAATTTAAAGAGGTCTTGGTCTAGAAGGGAAAATATTGAGATTCTGCTGAGCCCCTGTTGCAGACTAATGTAATTAGTTTAGTCTTTCTGCAATGATGTATGTGTGTTTCTTTTTAAAAAAGCAGATTTAAGCTACAGGAGACTGGATTTGCAAAGAAAGAATGAATTTTAAAAAGATTGAATATAATCTGTGTCCATCTTTTTCTTGGTTTCCATTAATTTTCTTAATGCCTTACAGGCAGATTTTATGAATATTTACTCAAATGTAAGCAGCAGTGTATTCTGCAGGGTGTGAACCTGATTAACATGTGGGCAAGGCAACTTCAGAGCCTGTATATGTGATGCAAGGATATATACATGTATAGTTTTTCCTCAATTGGGCTGGCAGCTTTCATGCCAAGAGGGGTGGCGAATAAATCCTGGGCGCTATCCAAGGTGCTGAACTCTCATCCCTTCCCCATATGGTTCAGTACCTTGAACAGTTCCTTGGAAGTGCCGATTAAACCCCAAATAGTCTTGATCCCACAAATATATACACTGTATGAGATGGGCAGGAATAATCACTCCCTTGTGTGAATTTACCTCAGAGTAGATTCTTTTGGGAACCAAACTGGAATGAGTCCTATAATGAGAAGTGCAATTGAATATAATGACTTAGAAGAAGAATCTCATACCTGGGAGGAAGGCTTGTCATCCAGAAGGAGTTATGTGTGTGACAGATGTCACAATACCTTTCAATAATACCTCTGAACACATCAACTCCTTCTGTTTTCAACTGCTAAGTGATGTCAGACTTGGATAGATAGCCTTTGGGCTGAAGACCAAAGTAGGACTGGGAAAGAGCCCTGCCTGAATTATAGCTCTCATTCAGAGCTGACTGTCCTGAGGTGCATTTACGCTGCAGAAGTTAATGCAGCTTGACGCCACTTTAACTGCTATGGTCCCATGCTATGGAATCATGGGAGTCTTTTGTCACCTCTACCCAAGAGGGCTGGTGCCTTGCCAGACTACAGCTTCCAGGATTCCACAGCATGGAGCCTTGGTGGCTGAAGTGGTGTCGAACTGTATCTTTGGTGACACTGGGTTGCTGTGAGTTTTCCGGGCTGTATGGTCATGTTCCAGAAGCATTCTCTCCTGACATTTCACCCACATCTATGGCAGGCATCCTCAGAGACTGAGGGGGTCTGTTGGAAGCTAGGCAAATAAGGTTGGTGACACTGTAAGACATAATTGGGGTATCATGGAATACGAAGGGCCAAGCCTTGCAGATTTCATCAAGGGTACTAATGCTACAGTGTTTCAAGGATGGCATGAGTTGGGATGAGGCAGCTCCCTGGGTTCTTCTTCAATATGCCCTCTTTGGACAAGCACAATTGAAGGAAAATGTTGACTCTAAGCTGGAATGTGTCCAGAAGAGGGCAACTAAAATGATCAAGGGTCTGGAGAACAAACCTTATGAGGAACGGCTTAAAGAGCGGGGCATGTTTAGCCTGCAAAAGAGAAGGCTGAGAGGAGATATGATGAAGGTCATGTATAAATATGTGAACGGAAGTCATAGGGAGGAGGGAGCAAGCTTGTTTTTTTGTTACCCTGGAGACTATCTCATCACAGTAGAGAATGAATCCACTTTAAATCCGATTTCTGTATCCTGAGGCTGTTAAAGGCTCCTTCCAAAACTACAAAACCCAGAATTCTGCAGGAGGCAGCAACCAGATTTAAGTGGATTCATTCTCTAGTGTGATGAGGTAGCATGATGCGGAACAATGGCTTCAAACTACAGAAAAGGAGATTCCACCTGAACATGAGGAAGAACTTCCTGTCTGTGAGAGCTGTTCAGCAGTGGAACTCTCTGCTCGGGAGTGCAGTGGAAGCTTTTAAGCAGAGGCTGGATGGCTGGGGGTACTTTGAATGCAATTTACCTGCTTCTTGACGGGGGTTGGACTGGATGGCCCAGGAGATTACTTCCAACTCTCATCATACTAGAGAATGAATCCACTTTAAATCCGGTTGCTGCCTCCAATAGAATTCTGGGGTTTGTGGTTTAGTGAGGCTGTGAAAGGCTCCTCCTTAAACTACAAACCCCAGAATTCTGAAGGAGGCAGAAACCGGATTTAAAGTGGATTCATTGTCTACTGTGGAACAATGGCTTCAAACTACAGGATAGGAGATTCCACCTGGACATAAGGAAGAACATCCTGACTGTGACAGCTGTTCAACAGTGGAACTCTCTGCCCCGGAGTGTGGCGGGAGGCTCCTTTTTGGAGGCTTTTCAGCAGAAGCTGGATGGCTATCTGTTGGGACTGCTTTGAATGCAATTTTCCTGCTTCTTGGCAGCGGGTTGGACTGGATGGGCCATGGGATCTCTTCCAACTCTACCTCGTCATACTAGAGAATGAATCCACTTTAAATCCGGTTTCTGTCTCCTGCAGGATTCTAAGGTTTGTAGTTTAGTGAGGCTGTGAAAGGCTCCTCCCTAAACTACAAACCCCAGAATTCTGCAGGAGGCAGCAACCGGATTTAAAGTGGATTAATTCTCTAGTGTGACGAGGTAGTATTTATGATTCTAAAGTTGGCGAGAGTCTAGGGCGTCGCTCCTCGAGGAACGGACGAGGAAGTTCTCCTTCGAAAGAGCGGCGGGAGGAGGAGACGTGGAGGGAACCCTGCTTCTTCCTTGGGTGCGCGACCTCTCCTTCCCTCCCTCTCTTTTCCCCGGAGGAAAGTGTCCCGGCGGGCGTGGGGACTCCCAGGGAAAGCCTGCTCAGCGAAGGCGGCTCCGGTGTCAGTCAGGCGGAGCCTCCCTCCTCCTCCTCCTCCTCCTCCCTCCCTCCCTCCTTGCCTTCCCCGCTCACTCAGCCTCCTCCTGGCGTCTCCTCCGCTCAAGAAGAGGAGGAGGAGGAGGAGAGCGTCCTCTGCTTGCCTGCCTGCCTGGCTGCCTGTCGGTGCGCGCTTGCGGGGGATGCGCCAGGAGGGCAAGGACTGGGGCTGAGGGCTCCCCTTGGGCTCCCACCCGGGGACAGGAGGCAGAGGGCGGCGCCGGCTCGCCCTCCCATGTGCCCGCAGCCCCAGCAGGAGCAGGAGGGAACTTTGAGGCTGGCTCCGGAGCGGGCGGACGCGCCTCTCGCCTCCCGCCGCTGCCTGCCATGGGTGCCCGTCCTCCACCTCTTCCTCCCCCTCCGCCTCCCCTTCCTCCGCCTCTCGCCGCCCTGCTCCTGGCCGCCGCCTGCTGCTGGGGCTGCTGCTCCGGCTCCGCCGCCCTCCTCCACCAGACCCCGCACGGAGGTGAGTGAGCGAGGGTTCAACCCGCCCGGGACTTCTTCGCGGCCACGCAGGCATCCCTCTCCGCCGCCACGTGGGTCTCTGCCTGGCTCGGCTGTGGAAGGGGAGAGCCAGAGCGCTTCTTCGGGTCCCGCGCGCGGCTCCAGGCAGGGGCTTTCCTCGCCAAAGGGAAGCGAGGGGAGGGGTGGGGGATACCTCGCGTGAACTCTCCCTGCGCGTGGGGCGGGTTTCTGGGGTCCCGCGCGGGGAAGACGGCTCCTGGCTTCGCCTGCCTCTCTCGCCCGCCTGTTCTTTGAACTCAAGAAAGGAGGAGAGGGATCTGAATCCAGCGCCTGTGCGGGATGGTTTCATACATTTCACACACACACACACACCAGAGAACGCGTTCCTGCGCGCAAACTTTTCCATTGGAACTGCCAGTCACCAACTTTAAAGTTATCCAGACTGTCTTCTAAACTAGGTTGCTGTGAGTTTTCCGGAGTGTATAGCCATGTTCCAGAAGCATTCTCTCCTGACGTTTCGCCTACATCCATGACAGGCATCCTCAGAGGTTGAGGGATCTGTTGGAAACTAGGCAAATGGGTTTTATGTATCTGTGGAATGTCCAAGGTGGGAGAAAGAACTCTTGTCTGCTTGAGGCAGGTGTTAAATTTTTCGATGGTCCACCTTGATTAGCATTTATTTATTTATTGACTATATTTGTATACTGCCCCTCTCAGCCCGCAGGCGACTCAGGGCGATTAACAAAGGCAACAATTTAATGCCAACATTTAATGGCCCTGCAGCTTCAAAGCCTGGCTGCTTCCTGCCTGGGGAATCCTTTGTTGGGAGGTGATTAGCTGGCCCTGATTGTTTCTTGTCTGTTTTTAATTTTCTGTCCTGATTTTAGAGTTTCTTTTTTTATAATACTAGTACTCAGATTTTGTTCATTTTCATGGTTTCCTCCTTTCTGTTGAAATTGTCCACATGCTTGTGGATTTCAGTGGCGCCTCTGTGTAGTCTTGACATGGTAGTTGTTAGAGTGGTCCAGGCAAGAGTTCTTTCTCCCACCCACCCTGGACATCCCACAGATCTATAAACCCAATTTTCCTAATTTTCCAACAGACCTCACAACCTCTGAGGATGCCTGCTATAGATGCAGGGGAAACGTCAGGAGAGAATGCTTCTGGAACAAGGCCATACAGCCCGGAAAACTCACAGCAACCCAGTGATTCTGGCCATGAAAGCCTTCAACATTGTCTTTGAAACGTTTGCTTTGAAGAAAGTATTGTTTTCAAGCAAAGGGAAGAGGGGAAGAGGAAAAAGCCCCCTGAGATATGATACCAATCTCATCCCCATTCATATTCCTAGTGCAAGCATGGGCAAACTTAAGTGGCTGAGGGGGAAAAGGAAGGGGCCTGAGGCCAGGAATTGTGGGAGTTGAAGTCCAAAACACCTGCAGGGCCAAAGTTTGCCCATGCTTGCCCTAGTGACAATTCACATGCTGTTCTGGCCATCTATCCTCTCTTCACATTTCCCATCTTGGTGGGAGTTTCCCTCATTGAATCCCTGGAAAGATGAGGCCTCAACATTCCCATGCTTCTTCCCAGTCCTTGGCATCAGAAGAAACTTTTTGGCAGGTACTTAGGAAAGCGAGGAGACAGCCAGCATCAACCAATGGTAGGATGCAGTGCGTGACTTTGAATGATTACTCATGGTTTCTGCTCTCTGCCCTCCCTGCTTTTCTTTCCCTCATAGGTCCTGCTTTGGGAGACCTGGAGGAATTCAGGCTTGTCATCCCAATTAGCACTAACTCTGAGGGCCGGTTCCTCTCCAAGGTGGTGTCCGGGGCTTCCAAGCCACGCTTTCGAAGGGATGCCGATGCTGCTGGGGACCCTGCTGCCAGCCAGCACATTTTCTACAATGTCACCGTTTTCGGACAAGAATTCCACTTCCGTCTGAGGCCCAACCGCAGGCTGGTGGCTCCGGGGGCCACGGTGGAGTGGCAAGGGGAGGACTCCAACCTGACCTCTGTGGAGCCGCTTCGTGGGGATTGCCTCTACGTGGGGGATATCACCGACTTGCCTAATGCCTCTGTTGCCATAAGTAATTGTGATGGGCTGGTAAGACTCTTTTGTTGTTTCAATGCCTGAGAGAATGAATGCCTTTCTTCTCAATGCACCCCCACCGACCCTTTGGGTTTTTAAAATGGAGAACCTGTGGATCTTCCCTTTCAGATACCTCACCAACCTAAACATCTTGTTTGTGACACCCTCGACATGAAGTAAAGTGCCAAGAAATCAGTAAACTTCCTTTAGAGATAGCAGAGCAGCCAAAATCACTCTGAACTGACACTTATGGCTGTGACAAATCAATGATTATCAAGGCAAACAGCCCCCTCGAAGCTTTTCAGCACATTGAAAACAGTGACCTCATGTTGGCATCTGTACATTTTCCATCTTTGTAATATTCTCTGACATCTTTAACTTTAGCAGGGGTTATGGAAGTGTGTGTGTGTGTATTTATAAAGAGATCATAACACTGAATGCCAAACTGCATTGTAGAGTGATTGATTTTTGTCTTCCCAGATGAAATTTGTTCAGAAGTTGAGGGCCAGGCCCTATACTTTTAGTGCCTTCCTTGTTCTGTTAGATTTATTCTCATTTGTCTACTGGGCTTCTCACTTGAGGTGCTGTCCCCATCCAACAGAGCCCCTATGACTAGGGATGATAGGGTTATAGTCCAACACACTGAGTGGATGCCAGGTTGAGAAAGGGAATTCTGGTTACTCATGGAGAGAGGAGGAAAGTTCAGTTATTTTTACTGCATAGTGGTAGCCCTCTATATGTTTGCAGAGCTGGTTATATGTACATATACAGCTGGGAGATAGTTTCCATCCTCCATTCTGGAACATGAGTACAGAGGTCAAACTGTTTATCTTCAACTATATGTTTTAGACTAATTGCTATGTTGAGCAAACTTTGCTGAGATTTCCTTTGTGGAATGAACTCCTGATTACATCCAATATCATCTTGTTTACATGGTTTGAGAGAGAGAAGGACTTGCTAACATAAAATCAGTGCTATTTATATCAGGCATGGGCAAACTTTGGTCTTCCAGGTGTTTTGGACTTCAACTCCTACAATTCCTAACAGCCTATTCACTTTTGGGAATTGTGGGAGTTGAAGTCCAAAACACTGGAAGGGCCGAAGTTTGCCCATACCTGATATATATGATAAATGGATTTACATTCAGATTGTGACCTTTCTGTGTTGTCCGATTTCTCTCTAGAATCTGATTAAATAGGAAGAGGTATGAAGGTGGGGAATACAGTTGCCAACTTTTTTTGGCAGGGTTCCTGTGTCCTAATAGCAGCCTGGTCCATAGGCATTAGCAGGTGAAACATCTAATACTGCACCTCGAGCAGCTATTTGAAGCACAGAAACCTGCCAAAGAAATGTGAACATTTGTAGGTAAAAGTCTCCCAACTTGGTTTGTGGTGTACACTGTCCACGAAGACAGAGCTGTTTTGCTGGCACCCCTTCATGTGCTCCATGATGGACTTCAAAATCAGCTATATTCCTCAGTGTATCAATGCCTGGGCAGGAGTGTTTTGAGAGGATGGAGAGCAAAAGAGAAAGGTTTTCAATGTACTCCAACTTGGCATGCCATAAACTGGGCAATGACTCCTTTAATTTCTCATCCAGTGCCCTTGTGGGGTGGGAGTTATAATTCAGTCTGCCAGGTATTTGGTTTTGGACTTCAACACTCCAAAATTCCAGCCAGACAGTTGTTAGAAATTTTAGGAAATCAAGTCCAAAATACCCATAGAACCATAGAGTGAGAAGCTACGTTCTAGAATGCAGATGGACAACTTTTCTTTTCTGAGGGATCAATCTGTTTTCTGTACAATGATCTAGGGCAGTGGTTCTCAACCTGTGGGTCCCCAAGTGTTTTGGCCTTCAACTCCCAGAAATCCCAGCCAGTTTACCAGCTGTTAGGATTTCTGAAGGCCAAAACGACTGGGGACCAACAGGTTGGGAACCACTGATCTAGAGCAATGCTTCTTAATCTGTCCAATGTGGTAGAGTGGCAATTTCCCAGGGATTTTATTTATTTATTTATTTATTTTCCTATATTTTTACCCCGCCCTTCTCACTCCCGAAGGGGGACTCAGGGCAGCCTCACAAAAGCACCATAAGATGCCGACATCATAAAAACAATCAACCATACATTAAAATATTAAAAACAGTATTTAAACAATTAGTTAAAACACGCCTGTTAAAATCAGAATCCAAAATCCTTGCATTATGCATTGCATAAAATAGTTTATCTAAAACTGATAGAATGGTTTACCTAAAAGTGGTAAAATAAAGGGATCACAAGCTGCTACATAGTTTTAGACCAAAAACTGGCAACAGCAACTGCATTGTCTGTAGCTTTAAACAGTTCTTCCTCTGTGCATGAGGCAGGGCATTGGGGGCAAACATACGGATGCTGAGTTGTTTGTTCTGCTCCACAATCGCACAAGGTAGAGGATTCTTTTAGGCAGTGCCATTTTGCCAGGTTGTCTTTTGATCTGCCAACTCCACTTCTGAGGTCTGTTCAGGGACTTCCAAGTTGCCCATTCTTGCTTTGCCCCTGAAGGAAGACCCTCGTGGGGGGCCATCCAGTTGGAATTGCCTGATTTTGCTGCCCACAGGGATATTCTTGCTGTTGCTGGAGGAACATTCAGAGGAGTGGTGGTTCTCATGAAACTTTTCCTTTATTTAAGTCTACTGGGAGGAGGCTGATAGCCATACAGTGGGGGGCTTTCACAGTGTTCAATCTTATTTCTCTCACAATTGGCAGCGACTTTCCATCACACATGGGGGGGGGGGGATGCCAGCTTATTAAGTCTATCAACAGGTGTAGGTTTAAGACATCCTGTGATTATTCTATGTGTCTCATTTAGTGCTATATTCACCTGCTTCGCATGGGCAGATTTATGCCAGACGAGGCAGGCATATTCAGCAGTTGTTTTTTTTTAAGGGATTGGTGCCATGTTTGTATCAGATTATATTGTATTTGTATAATTTTTTGGAAACCTGTAGTGAATCAACAGTAGATGTGTTGCATACCAACTATGTTTGGTTGACTGCCATATTGAATGGCATTGGTTTAGAGGTTGGTGATATATTTTTGCTATATGTAATTGGACTTAATATTTATTTATGTATTTAATGATCTGCTTGTTTCCGAGCTGTGGCACACAAGGTGCCATAAAGAAGTTAAAGTAGATAGGTTCAGATCACATAGCACAAAACTGGTTTTATGATAGCTGTCTTCAAATATTAAAAGAGCTGTCATCGTGTGCAAGGTAAAGCAACCTTATTTTCTGGTGCTGCAATTTATAAGCAAGGTAATTCTGACTAAACATTAGGAAGGACCTCCTGATATCAGCACTATTTTATGGTTGAATAGACTATCTTGGAAGGTGGTGAACTCATCTTCACAGTAGGCTTTTAAACAGAAGTTAGTTGTCCATTTATTCTGGAAGCTATAGCTATAAAATCCTGGTTGTCCCTTGAGGACACCATTTAATTTTATAGTTCCATTATTCTGTGCAGGAACAGAAAGGTCCCCATTTCGGGAGCCCATGCAATAATTAAAATGCCCTCAGGTGTCACATTTGCCCCAGCCCAATCATACCTTGGTCCTTCCTGTTCTAAAGTACCATCTTAATCCAGAAGTGTCCCTCCATGTGTTGGTGGACTACAACTCTTAGGAACCCTAGCCATACTCAGGGATGCTGGGAGTTGTAATCTGTTAACATATGAAAGGCCTCATGATCTGTTTTAGATGATGGTTTCAGGCCAGGAGCCCCCAGTGGTGCAATGGGTTATACCCTTGTGCCAACAGGATTACTGACCAAAAGGCTGGCAGTTCAGATCCAGGAAGTGGATCCCATCTGTCAGCTCCAGCTTCTCATGTGAGAGCATGAGAGAAGCCTCCCACAGGATGGTAAAACATCAGGGCATTCCCTTGGCAACATCCAATTCTCTCACACCAGAAGTGACTTGCAGTTTCTGAAGTTGCTCCTGACACACACAAAAAGGCCAGTAATAGGGTTTTTACAGCAATCCAACTCCCATCATTTCTGGCCTCCTTGACTGAGACCAGTGAAAGTTTGTGTTCAACAGTTTCTGGAGAGCTACTGGTTCCTTTGCCCTGATTTGGATTACTACAAAAAAGAATCCAGAGGACTGAAAGAAAACTATCACCAATTATATATGTTGCTAACTGTTGGCCTATATATAGCTATGCTGTCTTGTTAGTCCCACTTTGGTCCCCTAATGAAATACCATGAAATGGTTCCTTTCCGGAAGACACTGAATTTTTCTCTGGCTGGGGGCAATTTCTAGGGCCAGGTTGGGTTGTATTGTCAAATGATTTAGTTTGTACAAGCAAAAGAAAGCCTTCAATTCCTCCGTTTCCTCAAACCCCTCCCTTTCCTGATTGTTGATATTAACAAAACACATTGATTTGGGGACATTTTGCTGTAGGATGAATCTATGGAAAAGTATGTCCCCTATGATGTTCCTGGAGTTTTGAAAGAGCTCCAGAGTTCTAAATCCAATCTCTTGGAAATGTGTGCCATTGACTTTCCTCTAAGTAAACATGGTTAGCATTGGGCTGAAAGTTAATTGGCCGCTTCCCCGCTGAGCTTGTGCTTAGTATGGGAGAGTGACAGTCTGGGTGGTGATTGACATGCTCCTTCCAAGGTGTTTGCAGTCACTGTGGGAACTCGCCAAAACCAATGCCATGAGCAGCAGGATGGGATACATGGATGGCTAATTAAGGGAGAAGTCCTAAGGGGAAAGAGCCTGATGTCTGGAATGCCTCAATCTCAGAAGCTCTGTTCTATTTAAAGCAAAGCTGGAGCAACTTATTGAGGCAATAGGGTACAGCTGCCAAAATCTTCCAACCAGTGTGATCAGAGTGGCTGAAGAATTGCAGGCTCTGAACCAAAGCAATACCAAGCTGTTGCTATTAAGGTGGAAGTATCAATAAAACTCTTCAACCTCCCTCCATGCCTTTCCCCTACTTTTACTAACATTTCTTTCCCATGTTGTAAGTAATT